CTACGACTAATTCCCGAAAGACACTTGCCCGAAGGCTTATTCTCCGAATGGGCACTAGCCTCAATGGACACCTGCCTGAGTGCGACAAATGCCCGAGTGGACACTTGCTCGAATGCGACAAATGGTTTTCGGGCATTCGTTGCATTCGGGCAAGTGTCCATTTAGGCGTTTGTTGCATTCGGGCATCTGGGGCCTTGACCTTGCCGTGGCTTGGCAGCTACAAGCTAGATGCTAATTTTGGATCAAACGATCACTATTTTCTTGATATTACTTAATTGGCCTACATGTCGATGTCAAATGTTCGAATGACCCCAGTCCAACCATCTAAATCAACGGACGTGATAGGTCTAAACCTTGGCGTGAAAACAAATTCTGCTTACCAAAGCATTCTGAAATACCTGTTTGTTGATTTGTTGATTCAACCCGTCATCTGCATTACCGTTTCTCTGTTTACTGCTGCATTATTAATTGATGTAGTCACAATATCATCACCCCCTTTCCCAATATTTGAAAGCCATTTTAAGTTTTGGGGTCAATTCCCAGTGGCAGTTAATTAGATTACTCTTGGGTTAAATTAAATTGTGCATCTTTTGTTTTTTCGTTGCTCCTACAAATTTAAATGACTAGTGTTTCTTCCAGACTTTTTTCTCCGGGGGTGCACTCCAAATTTGGGGGCGGGGGGGGGGAGGGAACAGACAACAATTTTCGTGGGGGGGGGGGTGACTTCATTCGGGTGGGGGTGGGGGGGGGGCTGTGCCCCCCCGAAGAGATGCCTGGAAGAAACTCTGGCTATGACTAGCTGCTACACACCTGCACACCTTAGAGATTCTCATGGAGTTAACTTTGTCACAGTTATGTACCTTGGTTAATGACGCTTTGCTTCAATACACCTCATCATTAAAACAGGGAAGCCACCCCTCTCGCCCGTTACTACAACACCTTGTTGTTCTTCAACCACCACCAAATAGATTTTACAAATAGAAGAACAGTGACTAACTTCAGGATGAAATGTCGCATGAATATTCCAGCTGTCGTAAAGCATAGAGCCCACGAAAGTGATAATCTGAATATCCCCATTCTCTAACTTAATGCCTACACACTACACAGTGGCGGAACTAGAAAAAAAGGGCCACCCCGCAAAATATTTGTTTAGGCCCCCCCCTTATATATATATATATATATATATATATATATATATATATATATATATATATATATATATATATATAAACACAAAATACGAACGTAGGATACTCATTTCGGGCCTAATCTAGTTTTTAAAAAACACATTGTTTTAAAAAATACATAATACTTTTATTTTCAATTCTAACAAATTACAACAACATGTCTTGTGTTTAAGTGCATTAATCTGTTTTGCAAATCTGTGTGTCACTTTTGATGCCGGCCGTATAGCTTCCCATACGCACGCCGGTCAAAAGTATATGAAACATGAAAGCTTTGTATGTGTAATGGTTTCTCGTGTTATGTTTATTTTTATGTTTTTTTTAAATTTATATTATTTTTTTTTTTAAATTCCTTTTTATACTATGTCATTCTTTAGTATGTATTTTTTAAAAAATAATAATTAAGAGAAGTAATTGCTTTTCAATTTTGCGTAGTACAAAACTATTAAAAGGAGTTTATGGACACTTCTATTTGACTATTTAAAAAAGGGAAATAACTCAAGGAAGTGGTTTGAATGTTTGTTTATCTTGCACACTAAAGCTTATGTAGATTTGTATTAGCTACTGTAAAACATCACTTCAGTAGTAGTTTTTTTTTTACAAAACCATTATTAAGGTGCACGAAAACGTAATTTTGGAATACAAAGTCATTGCTTTTTGGTCGGATTTTGGGCCCCTAAACGGCCTGGGCCCCCGCATTGCGGGGTCTGGCGGTATGGTAGTTCCGCCCCTGACACTACATGATAATAGGCTACAATCTAGCCGCTACATCTGACTAACCTTAACACAGATCGACTAAACTAAAGTCTCTAGAGATTAAACAGCAAAAACATGCTATAAGAAGTCCCATGTTTTTTGTATATTCATATTATTCTTTTTATATCAATATGTTTCTTGTACATCAATGATTCTTCTGCACTATTGTCAAATAAACATCAGTACCGATATAATTCTTGTTATTCCATTAAGTGGTTGATACATCAATACAGTTCTCATACTCTGCAACAACTCTCTTAACATTTCATTAAAGCTTTACACTAGTCTTTCTCCTTTTTAAAAGTTTATTTCTCTGTAATTTTAAATGAATACTTAAACGATTTTTTTCCTCTGACAGACACATTTTAAGCAAGCAAGGACCTGGGTAATATCATTGAATTGATATACGGATCATCATGCAGCGCACAGTCCCATTAGTATTATTTTTTATCCATATGTTTATTAGGTCATCACTTTCACAGTCATTTGATGGTAAGTGTTTATCTAGTTCTAAAACTTTTCCTAAGCTGCATTAGTCATTATTTACGAATACATTATGAACATTTATGTATAAACATTGCAGTTAATTTAAGAATGAATTTAGTTTTCTAATACTCTCCATACAATTGTATATTTTTTTCTTACAGTGTGTATTTGTGTACATATTTGTTTATCTTTTTTCTTTCAGCGCTTATTTGTGTATCTTTTACTTCATCTCTTCAGTGCATGATTATCTTTTTTCTTGCAGTACGTAGACCACCAGATATCACTAATCCAGAAGCTCCAAAAGTTTTTTATGCAACCACATACAGATTCAGTGTGCCATGTGTGGCTTCAGGGACACCAGTCATTAAGTATGTTGCTTTAATTCATCTGAACTAGTTATTATGTATGTTTCATTCATCTAAACCAGTAATTAAGTATGTTAATTCAAGTCAATTGAACCATTATTAAGTATATGTTGGTTCAATTAATCTGAACCATATAAGTATGCTGATTCAGTTCATCTGAACTAGTTATTATGTATGTTTTATTGAGTTCATCTGAACCAGTAATTAAGTGTATTTGATTAAGTCCACATGAGCTTTTAGGTTTGAAAAAAGAACTTTACTTTTATAATTAACTATGTAGGATTCAATTGATTTAATCTGAAGTTCATTCTGTGATCGATGCCAAACTAATTACATTATTGTTTTTTTTTTATAAAACTTATAAAAAATGGTTCAATGTTAGTTTGAACATCATTATCAACTGTTTAAAGATTTAATTTGTCTTAGTTTCTCTATTTTTTATTGAAATAGTAAAAGGTTTTTCATACACTAGAATATTTTAAAATTGTCTCAGCAGTTGAAGTACTAAATCTGATGGAATGTATCAACTAATTTCTTTTAAATTGTCTCAACATTTACTTGAAGTACTAAATCTGATAGAATGTATCAAACAATTTCTTTTAAATTGACTCAGCAGTTGAAGTACTAGATCTGATGGAATGTAACAAACAATTTGTTTTAAATTGACTCAACATTTACTTCAAGTACTAAATCTGATGGAATGTATCAAACAATTTCTTTTAAATTGACTCAGCAGTTGAAGTACTAAATCTGATGGAATTTAGCAAACGATTTCTTTTAAATTGACTCAGCAGTTGAAGTACTAAATCTGATGGAATGTAACAAACAATTTCTTTTAAATTGACTCAGCAGTTGAAGCACTAAATCTGATGGAATGGTTCAAACAATTTCTTTTAAATTGTCTCATCAGTTGAAGTACTAAATCTGATGGAATTATCAAACAATTTCTTTTAAATTGACTCATCAGTTGAAGTACTAAATCTGTTGAAATGTATCAAACAATTTCTTCCAGATATAGCTGGTTTCAGGTTGGCCGTGACACAGATATAACAACAGATTCCTCTCAGCCAGTCTATGTTGACAGTGCTACAGGAACTCTTCAATTAGCTGATTTCACAGAAAGAGAAGAAGGCACTTTCATCTGCAAGGCATCAAATGAGTTCAATCAAGGAAAAATAAAAGCTGTTAGTTTCTCTCCTCCAGTCACAGTGCTCCGTTCACGTAGGTTCAACTTTGTGTGATGCCTTTTTATAACTTGTGGTAATTGGCTAATTAATTAAATACATTGACTTTCCCAAAGTGACATTCTTATATTTTTTTCCACTTTAATCAGGAGCTGATGACTTTTCTGATGAGGAAAAAACTTATACAGCCAAAGCCAATTCATATCTAGTGTTGTTGTGTGATAAGAAAGGAGATATTGTTGGAAGCACAATTACTTTTAATTGGCACATTGGTAGAGATATGAAAGAAGTGAATAGAGATAACGGCCGCCTTTTCATTGATAATGAGGGTAGGTTTAAGGCATAGGTTTTGGTGGTGACAGGACAAATGATCTCAGGACAAATGATCTCAGACAAAATATCTCAGACAAAATATCTCACGGACAACTTTATTTTGTCTGAGATCATTTGTCCATGGTATCATTTGTCCTGATATATTTTGTCCTGGTATCTTTTGTCCGTGAGATCATTTGTTCTTGAGATCATTTGTCCTGAGATCATTTGTCCTGAGATCATTTGTCCGTGAGATATTTTGTCTGAGATATTTTGTCTGAGATCATTTGTCCTGAGATCATTTGTCATGGAACCGTTTTGGTATTCTAAGACGTTTAAAAAATCTCTTAAGCATTCAGGAGAAATTTCGGTTTGGATATTTGTTTATACTAGTGATTTCAATATAATATAACATTTTATTCCTAGGCAATCTTCACTTCACTTACGTGAAAACGGCAGACACAAATTTAGTAGAAGGCTACAAGTGTGGCGTTTCAATAGAAGGCCTATCTTTGAGACGACCAAGTGCCAACAAGAAATTTTTAAAAGTCATTTCTGAACCAAGTAAGTTTTATACCTTATTAATTTCTAGAATATATCTTGCTCAGATAAAAATAAGAGACCATTTTCTAGAAATGTATGCAATGTAATGGTTTCGTATACTTAAAATCTATTTTAAATAAAAATGCTGTTTCTTAAAGTAATTGAGTGAAATGTTCTCAGACCCACAGCAAATAGCCCCCCAACTTATGTACAGTAACCGTCCAGTAAAAGTTAAAATCTATCTCTCTGCCAAGCTGGAGTGCATGTTTTCTGGATAGTAAGTATTGTTCTAAAAATAACTTTTTAGTAACAAAAGTAATATTTATATAAACTACTTTACATTTTGTTAAACTATATTTTTTTATTCAATTCCACACGTATCTAGTGATCCACAAAGTCAGAATCTTCCATACATCAAGTGGTACTTTGACAATGGAACTCAGATTCAGAGATCAGCTAAATTTGGGTTTGCTCATGAAAACCGTGTTTTGACAATAGGCACAGTTTCAGAAGACGATGAAAAGATATACAAGTGTGAAGCAAGCAATGGTGCTGGTACATCAAAAAAAGAAGAGCTGTTTTTAAACGTCACTGGTAAAGTATTTTATTTTTCAGTGCACTTCTACAAAATGATGTCAGTTTGTCAATATTATACTCCATTTCTGTTAAGATAACTTTAGATCTGTAATGTTACAAACCAATAATAAAAAATGTAATCTTGACACAATGCATCAAGATTTCAAACATTTTACTTCTCAGTATCTAAATTTCTTACTACTCGACTGTGTAGGCAGAATGAACTATAAATAATTTAATATAGATTTGTTCTTTCCTAAGGTCCACCAATGTTTGTTGCTGGTGGCGCACCTAGTGATATAATTGTTCTGAAAGGAAAAGATGCTGTTTTTAACTGTAATGCAAAATCAGTTACGTCTGAACTGCAACCAGAAGAACCCATTTGGTATATCAATGGCATACGTACAGGTTTACATACAGGTGGGTACTTGGGTAGGAACGGAAAAAAAGTTTTTCTTTATGTACATCATTTCTTGTTTATACAATATATTATTTGATTTCCATTTTTTAACAAAAAGTTTGAATTAAATCATACATTTTCATTTAGATCCAAAGAAATATGTGGCATCAGATGGCAACAGAAAGCTAACTGTAAAAAATGTGAAAAAAGATACAGATATTCTCTGTGTGCAGTGTTACGTTGAAAACTCTGAAGGAGGGATCTGGGGCGATGGATGTGTAACAGTTATCTGTAAGTTGTAATCGTTTCTTTATCTGTCTTTGAGGGTGTAAGTTGATTGTAATCTTTTCTTGAGCTGGCTATAAGAATGTAAGTTGTAATCTTTTCTTTACCTGACTTAAAGAATGTAAGTTGTAATCTTCTCTTTACCTGACTTAAAGAATGTAAGTTGTAATCTTCTCTTTACCTGACTTAAAGAATGTAAGTTGTAATATTTTCTAGAGCTGGCTGAAAGAACATAAGGTGTAATCTTTTCTTTATCTGAATGTAAGAATGTTAGTTGTTATCTTTTCTTGAGATGGCTGTAAAAATATCACTGATCAGTCAAAAGTAGTTTACATAATAACACATTTAAGCTCTGTATTTTTATGCCTCTCTAAGTTTTTTTTCTGTTTCAATTCTCTTAGCATTTCATTTGGATTACAAATTGTACATCTTTTCTAGTGCCAATCAAAGTTATACAACAGCCAGTGACACCACAAGAAATTGAGCACGGAGATGTCATAGACCTTGCTGTAACTGCAACAACTGACCCTTCAATGACCCTCAAGCAGAAGTGGGTTGTTTATATTAAAATATATTTCTAAATCTCTGACAAAAATTATTCTTTAAAATTATATAGCATAGTTTTGTTTAGAATTATTAGATATATTTTACTAGATATAACTTTAGTTGTATCAAATAGTTGATTAAACCTTTAAAAAATTCACAGTTAGCCACATGTGGTTCCAGGCCGAAGACAGGGATTCTACTTTAGGAAATTATAAGTGCTTTGTTTAGGTCAAATCAGCTTGGGGATAGTAGTAAAATGGTTGACAGTCAAGTGGTGAAATAGGGATAGTAGCTATATGATTCACTAAGTCTAGTGGTGAAATTGGGATAGTAGCAAAAGGATTGACTAAGTCTAGTGGTGATATAGGGATAGTAGCAAAATGGTTGACTAAGTCTAGTGGTGAAATTGGGATAGTAGCTATATGATTCACTACGTCGAGTGGTGAAATTGGGATAGTAGCAAAATGATTCACTAATTCAATCGATTAAATCAGCTCAACTCTCTTTAATTAGATAATAATAAAATTATATTTGTTTGAAAAAAAGCCCCTATAAAATGTAGTGATTTTACTTACAGATGGGAACACAATGGTACCGTGTATGATAACCTGGACCAGATACCTTTTGTCAAACAAAGGGCCATCAACACCAGTGAACTGTCGGAAGACCAGTTCAAAGAAGTTTTGGGGCTATACATAGTCACTTTGTATCATTCACATGACTCAAAAATTATAGACATTAACGTGGTAACCACGTTTAAACCTGTTGTTACTGTCCCGGGTAAGTGTGTGACATCAAGCTTATATTAAAAGATAATATTGTTTTATTGAGTACATCAAGCATACTTTAGTGAGGCAACCCAGTTAACACAGTATGTGAAACCAAGATTGGGTCCATATCGGCTCAACATTGTTATCTTAGCGAAACACGAGACAAACTTACGCAAGGATCAGCCAAGATTTGTACATGCGTGCATCCCTTAATACCTTGATATTTAACCGTTTTTACTCTGGCTTCCAAGATTACACTGATTTATGTATTCACTGCAGACATTTTAGTTAAATATGCTTGTTAAACTTAGTATATGTTAACTAACATAAATTATCTTTTAATATCATGCTCTAGTTTAAACATACCGTTAATAACAAACTACGTTGCATGCGCTTCTGCCGGTCCCTCTCGCCCATTGTTCCATTTGGTAACATTCCTTCACATTCCTTCCTACTGTTCGCAAGCCAGCATACCGGTCCTTCGCAATTTTTCTTAACAAGAGACTTTGTATCCAGTCACAGTCAAACAGGTAGGCCCACTCCAGCCATTTTTGTTCCATAGAAGCTGCATAACTATATTTATACAGAATCTGGAAAACGCGTATTCATTTGTTAGACACTTTAGATGTCATTAAATAAAAGGTAGGTTATTTGAGGTAATGAGTCTATATTCTGTTTATTTTGGCATTAGGCTATAATTTTATAATAATCTAAATGATAGTTTAGGATCTAGATCTATGTTTTCAAAGAAAAAACAATCTAAACTAAATTAAATCTAAAGTTCTGATTGTCTAATTACATCTAATCTTAATATCTTAAGCAGTAAGCTGCGCGAAGTTTCTGATTGTAGCATGGTGGCATCAGATCAACACTTAATTTCACGACGAACAGCGCTAAGATGGTACTATTAGTAAGCTCTACTTATTGATCAATACTACTCACATATTCATATAGAGGACAGATTAGTCAAATGTTCGAGGACACTATTGCATAAAAATAAAGCCAAGTTAGTTGTACATTCAATGGTTCACCTTACCTGATATATTCCCGATTTTAGAATATGAAAATAAAAAAGTGGCTTGACATAGTGCTGACTACAAAATCTCTTTATTTACAGAGATCAAATAAACAGAGACATTGTAGGCTACATCACCTGCTCTATTTGTCCACACGCCAGACATTCTTATGATGTACATATATAAAAGGATGTTATACTTTTTGGAGTTTTTTGTAGGTTTAGGCTTGATTTTGATGTATCATTGTTCACAATTAGTGCCTAGTCTTAATAGTCTTAAAAATGGAGTATCTAATCTGCTTTAATTTATTGTATTACTCATGCATTTTATTATTATATTTAATAACTAAGAATGGCATTTATTTTCAGGTCTCCAGGTGTTGTGTGTGCATCATCAGCCCGCTGGAGATATATCAATCTTTTAATAAATATTAAGGTCTCCACTTCTCGATACTTCAACAAATAATACCAGAAGATCACTAAATGTTCATATACTTAATAACTGTAAGTTTACATTGTTTCAAAGTAAATAATAATATCAATTTATATTGGGCCAAGATGTAGCCAATATTGGGCCAGGATATAGCCAATGTTGGGCCCATGTGTAGCTGGGATATAGCAAATAATGTGTCAATAGAGCGCCAATATCTTGCCAAGTCTCACTGCCAAGGTTGGGCCAATTGTGAACTATGACGCAGCCAATATTGGTAACCAATGTTTAGCCAATATTGGGCCAATATATGTGTGCTGACTGGGAAGATTGTTTTATTGAGAAGATAAAGCTTATTTTAGTGAGATAAGCAACATGCACCATTAAGTTTAGACATTTTAAATCTTTTTGTAATTGCTCCATTAATGTAAGATACTTTTCAAACTATAAAATTAATGTATTGATTTACAAGCATATTTTCATCTGACTCAAGTGTTACCACATTTTACCCTCCAGTAGCTGCTGAGGCTGGATCATTGATTTAATCATTGGAAAAAATTTCCTCTTTATCGTCATTATTATTATTATTTGTCTGGTCGTCGAAAGAAGCAAGAAGATAACTAAAATAGTAAGTTTTAAAATACAAATTTTCTTTTATGGATTTGGCATTTCTGTAATTAAACATTTAAGCTATTACAGTAAGTTATCATTAATATTATTCTTTGTTTCCATACTTGTTAAAGTGTTACATTATAGTACAGCACTATTGATCACTGTGTTAGGAGTGGTATATGGTTTTATTATATTATTATATACGTGTTAGGGGATTCTCTTCCTTCTTCACTTTTCTTTGTTAAGACCTGTAGAATTTCTCGTGGTGACTGGTAATTGATAGGAGATAAATGATCAGGGAGATAATGACCGGGTGGGGTAGGGATAGATAACTTCAAAAACCCGGGTAAACAATTTTACATTTCGGTTGAAATAAAGGTTTCATTTTAGTAATTTGCTTTTTTATGAAAGTCATACGATTTTTAAGTAAGGTTTTAATACTATTTGTGATTCTGTACAATTATTTTAACATTGATTAATAAGTACTGCTTGAGTGGAATCCCCAGGGAAAGCGGAAGAGACGACGCCAAAGACAGACCTTGAAGCGGAGTCTTCTTAAAGAACTGAAGCCAACAGGGATGTCTTGGGCGACGGCAAAATTAATGAAATGAAAGGAAATGGTTGAAGCTCTATGTTCCTTAAGGAGCAAAGAGGACTAAGTCTAGGTCTAATATGTATTGCTGGCTTTAATTTTTTTAGTAGATTTATAGTATGTTGAGTGTGACCAAAGTTCTGTTAAATTTTCTTATATATTTCATTAATGTTTTCGCATTTGTGGCAATGTTACGCTTTGCAATTGTTTACTACGACGATTTAAAAAGCTATTTACTCTTAAACGATACTATTCCGATATTGTGTGTATATTTTATTTGTATCACCTAGTGTTGTTGTTCGCCAGGAGAGGGAAAGTAAGTAGCAGTAAGTTTTCTATTACACTCTAATGCTAACTATAGTTGTGTAGTAACTCTTGTTATTGAGGCATATTGAGGAATATATATATATATATATATATATATATATATATATATATATATATATATTTGTGTAGTAAACCTTGTTATTGAGGCATATTGAGGAATATATATATATATATATATATATATACATATATATATATATATATATATATATATATATATATATATATATATATATATATATATATATATATATATATATATATATATATATATATATATATATATATATATATATATATATATAATTGAACAAATGCCTCTGAACAGGTCAGCTATCAATTGGCTTGATCATGGCAGCTTCAGTGGTAACCAATATCATACAGGGAGTTTTTAAGTAGGGATTGTTCCTTAATATTTCCACGTCTAGTGTGAATGAATGTTACGTTTTTATTAAGAAATTTTAGAGCAACCTCACTAAAACATAAATCACACTAAATTTGTCGTCTGTGTAATACTTTTTTCCTACCAGTTACTTTAATTATGATTTACTTTTTATACATGTTTTTAGATACTTTAATGAGAAAACATTATTTATCAAATAATGTTATGAATTCCATACACATTTTCGTATATATGTTATTTACATTCTAATATTGCGAATTTTATTATACACGAAAGAAATAAAAACATCTTTTAAAAAAGGAAGCTATTTTACCGTAGCATATAATGTTTATTTTCCAGCTATCGGAATGGTAGAAACCACAGACGTAAGGTCACAGAAAAACTAACGGCTACAGCTTTTGTGGATAATCTCAACGTCGACAACAACCCCATGTTCGGTCCTTTCTCTGATAGTGGAGACGATTCTGAAAACGAACAAAATCTTACAGGCCTTCATCAAGAGGTATATGTCAAAGACCGTTTACCAGAAATGGTTTACTTTGATGTTGATCAAGTTCAGAATGAGACAACAGTGTGAAAACAACCCGGAAGTGTAAAACAGTACTCAACACTGGCTAGATGATAAACTCTTCATGTCTGTTCCTGTTTCAGCTTTATCTTTTCACAACCACGTTTATAAAAATATGGCTTTATTTATGCAGAACATATATCAATTATCTGTTATATGTTTATGATTTCTTTCATGTAGATTTTTCAAAGATTTATTGAGAGCATTAAAAATACCGTTGTAATCAAGAACGATTACCCTAATTTATTTTCATACTTATTAGACGACATTATTAACAATTTAATAACGAGTATTAAAATAAACGAGAAATTTATTTGCCGTTCCGGCAAGGTTTTGCACTAGCTTCAATTATCACAAATTTTTGCGTCACGTTTGACCATTCCATATTGCGTTATCAATATAATTCTTGGCAATGACTTAGCTATTTGACTACAGTTTCTATATAAGCAACACAAGGCCCAAATCATATACTCCAATCCAAACAGAACCACTATTTTTATACAATTGTAGCACAACATTATATTAATGAAACTTCATATGGCGTCTATTACGGCGGCGTGGCCTAGACGCAGAGCTTCAGACTCCTAAAAAGAGTCTCGATTTTGAATACTGCTTCTTCCATGGAACGTACCTTACTCCATCCAGCCTTGATGCTCATTTAACTAACGTTATGGAAAATAAAGTTGGCTGACCACATTATCAATTCATTTGCCGAGGACAAGAAATATATGAACTCTACTTCTTCTACCCAATGAATTGCTAGCTCTAAAGAGGAATCTTTACTTTAAATGTGGTCTCTTGCATGAAATAATTTTATTCATAATGTACTACTGGCAGATCATACTTCATAAAGGAACTTGTAAAGTATAGTTTGTATATTATAGCTACGAATTCGTTAATTAGCTTGTAATACGCTATTTTAGAATAAATATATAATGTTTCATTAATAGAGAGCGAACCAAATTGTGCACGTAACATCATGGAATAGAAACAAGTTTTGAGAAGCAAAAATTAAATACATTTTTATGTAAATTATTCTTCTATTATCAGATGAAAATTGTTTTAGAGTCTGTTTTATTTTTTTGCTTTTTGTAACTGCAATCTATTTTTACCCAAACTTTCGAGAATACATTTTTTAGTTTTGTTTATTTTCTGAAATGTGCAAATTCTTTTGCAATGACTTATCATATGATTCTACACATATATTCTACACATTACTAAATAGATTCTACACATTACAATAATTAGTAGACAGCACAAAGTTAAATAACACAATGATATATTAATAATAAATTTACGTTTATTAAAAAAATAGTTGTGATGTTAAAAAGTTAATATTCTTCAAAGTAAAAGCTGGTTTTTATCTTACATGACTAGTAATATAAATCAACTGAATCAAATTAGCATATACATATAAAAATCACTTTAAAATTGATATTTCAAGTTCAAAAATTTGTTTTACATATATTCTACTATATAGTGTACTTTGGTAAAGTGATGCTTTGAATCTAATCATGCCAACCCATGCGATACATTAAACATGGCCTACACTCTCACTGGTAACAATGGATGCGCGTTTTTCATCGTAGACATTGTTGCTGAAAGCACTGCTAGCACCACAGACAGTGCTATCGGAAGGGCTTTTAGCACCATAGACGTAGTTACTAGAAGAGCCGTTGGCATCAAAGATGTTGTCGCTCCTAGGGCTGTTAGAACCATAGACATTGTCTTTGGAAGGGCTGTTAATATCGTAGACGTTGTCGTTGGAAGGCCTGTTAAAACCATAGACCTTGTCTTTGGAAGGGCTGTTAATACCATAGACATTGTCGCTGGAAGGACTGTTAATACCATAGACATTGTTGCTAGAAGGACTGTTAATACCATAGACATTGTCTCCGGAAGGGCTGTTAATACCATAGACATTTTCAGTGGTCGGACTGTTAATGCCATAGACATTGTCGCTGGAAGGACTGTTAGAACCATAGACGGATTTCATCACTCCGGAAATGCTTTCGTCATCACAGACGGTGCTAGCCTTAGTTAGCTCTCCAATATTTACTCGGAGGTGATTATACTCAGAATTTAGGCGTGAAACTTTTGGAACCGATGGAGCCTTATCATCAGATTCAACTTGAGCGTTAGTTGTGTTGCTTGCACTACCATCGTACTCTGAAGCTTTCAACATCTCATTTTGAACCTGATCAATATCGAAGTATGTCGTTTCCTCTGTATCATTGTTGATGTTTGGGTCATTTTCAACTCTGGGGGACATTTGACCAGCTCTAGTGTCCAGAGTCTGGGGGTCGGGCGTGTGGGTGGGGTCCACGTTAAGCATGACGACACCAGACTTTTCTCTATTGAGCCGCCTGTTCTTGGTGAGGGCCCAGAAGCTGACAAAAATAAATGTTAAGCATAAACAGTTTTATAATGACTAAATACTGGGGATAAGTTCATAACATTAATAATAAATAAACCGGGAGAAATCTCCCCTAAACTTTCTCGTATATTCTAATATAAAATTACGAGGGATGGCAACTCAGGACATTGAAAATATTTGTTATCCATTTTTAATTACTTAAACTTTTTATAATAGAATAGAATCTTGTAAAAAAAAGTGAAAAGTTTCCCTTTCAAACCTGACGGTCTATGGGGCAGGTGAAGTAGAGTTCACTTGTTTCTGTGACCTCGGCATATGAAGAGATAGTGTGGTCAGCACTATGCCCAGCCGTCTTTACTTTCCCTAACAGGAGTTAGGTACCCATCAGAGTTGGGTGGACTCAGGGACGGTCTACTGACTTGAACTCGGATTCGAACTCGAGACTAACGGGTTAGCAGTCCAGCTCTCTACCGCTAGACCACCAAGTGAACGCCTAATAAAATGTGTATAAAAGTGCGGGATATTATTAGTACTTTATAAATTTACATGCGTTTTTTGAGAAATCGGAAATAGCGTAAATTAGTTCTTCCGGTGAACGGAAATTACTCAAAATTTGACAGAAGGTAGAGATATTTTACTTACGTGTGAAATTTCATGCATCTATCTAAAATAGTACGCAACTTATAGGCTTTTGAAAAATTCAAAGTAGAAAAAGTACCACTTCATGCTATCGGAAATCGCTCAAAAGTTGATCAGGATCTACGATTTTGATAAAATACTTATATATGAAATTTCATCAACCTAGCTGTAACGGTACTCAAATTATCGTGTTTACACACAGACAGACACACAGACACACACACATACGGACAGAATTGCAAAGTCCAGTTTTTACGACTCGATAACGCATAAAACGTCAAAACGTTTATATATTTGTATTTATAATTTTTGCCTGATTAAAATAAGTCCTCTATACTCCGGATGTGACGAAGGACTGAGTAGTAAAACGGTGAAAACTGTCAAAATTTCATGTTATTTTTGTGCACGATTACAATACTTTCTCTATACTTCATATATACGAGAAAGTAAAAAAGATGAAAAAAATTAAAAACTTTAGAAATATCTTGGATTTTGGACGATTTTAAATAGTGAAACTTCTTTCATTGCAATATTTTGAGCGTATTTTTGCCACAAAATTTCTTGAAAAGTCCCAATTTAAAAAAAATTGAATTTAAAAAAATTATATTTTCAAAACATTTCACTAGAAATTAAGTTCTGTGTTGAGTAAGCCGCTAAAACATTTACCTTGCTTTACAATTTTTTTGGTCAAAATATAATAATTATTCAATCAAATAAAAATTTAAAAAACTATACGTTTACGCTTGTAAATTAAATTCAAAGTCGCTAGCCATCGGTATCCGATACACGTGAAATAGAGAACATTAATTACTAAAATGTTATACATTTTTGAGAAAATATTTTTATAAAATAGTTATAGCTCAAAACTCAATGTGCTTTACTACACGTTGAACGATATTAGTGACAAAACAAAGAAATAACCACATAGCTAAAACTCTTATACATTTAAAATATAACATAGGCTACCAATGATTATTAGAGAAAATAAAACCAAATTATATACGTAATTAGTTAATATGACACCATATTACATTACCACACTGATTAATTAATTGAAGTAAATGATTCCGTTAAGTAAAAGAAATTTCATACAAAGGTATAAGATCTTAATCTCTATAAATCTGTGAAATTTTGAGTGATTTACGATGACTTGACGCTATTTTTGATTTCTCAAATAAAATTCAAAGTTTATAACCGCAATCTATATATATATATATATATATATATATATATATATATATATATATATATATATATATATATATATATATATATATATATATATATATATGTATGTATATATATATATATATATGTATATATATATATATATATATATATATATATATATATATATATATATATAAGGTTAAAAGGTTTGCGTAATAATGCAGAAAATAGTCATTTATATTATTGTGGGTTGACGTTTTGTTTTTGATTTCTCAAAAACCTTCAGAATTTGTTAATTTTTTAATCTCAATCTCATAAAGAATATTGGTCTTCATTTTTGTTTTCTGAAAATAAAAAGAGCGGTTTTTTTCATAAACGTCTATAAAACTATAGCCCAATTGCACTGAAAGTGCCATCCACCTTACTATTCTATAAGTATCTTCGAGTAAGTTTAGGCGAGATCACTTTCGTTTTTTTCCTAGTGGAATGTATTTTATTTATATAAAAGAAACTTACACTACGATTCCCATAATAACGTTAATGAATAAAGAAGGCATAGTGATCAAATAAAACACGAACTTCAAAGTTTCATCACCTAAAATAAAAGAGGACAAACATTTTACATTTTGTGTTTTTAAAGCTGGGTGATGGGGGGGGGGAGGTTGTAGCTAAGTTGTATTAACTTGATAAATGCAATGCATCTTCACAAAGGTTAAAAATTGGTAAAGTCGGTAAAGCTCATGGTTGCTAAACCGAAAAATCTCGAGTTCGAACCTTCGGGCAGATGAGGCTCATTAGCTGGGGACAACCACTCTTCTAGGAGAGACAACTCCAAAATTAAACAACTGCTGCCTTGTAGTTTATACTTGGTTGGACAAAGGCAATGGAAGCAAATCCAAAAAGAAAAGCAGGCAAAAATCAATGGCCTCAATGGCGCATAACCAGTTGACACGTAACGCTTAATTGTGTTGGTTTTAACAAAGGTTAAAAATTGGTCAAGTCGGTAAAGCTCATGGTTGATAAATTCGAACAAAGTCTCGAGTTCAAACCCACTGGCAGATAAATCTCGATCCCC